AGTTTGACTCTAAAGCACAAAAGTGTCTCATGTTAGGATACTCTGAACGTTCAAAAGGTTATAGAGTATATCACACAGAAACACGAATTATGGAAGAGTCTATCATTGTCAGATTTGATGATAAGCTTGACTCTCAAAAGTCAAAGCAGGGTAAATTTTTTGCAGATATAAAATTTCAACTTACAGGTACTGAAGACACTGCATCAGAAGTTGCTCACAAAGAATTATAGTCAACTCCAGAAGAAGTTGTCACAAACATTACAGCAACATCTGAAGAGCCTCTTCAGAAAAGACAATCCAGAAGCAGTTTAGCTCATCCGAAAAACAAGATTCTGGAGAAGAAAGAAGACCCAATCAGAACAAGATCTACATTAAGAAATTATGAAGAATCACTCATGGGATTAGTGTCTCTGATTGAGCCAACTTCCATTGACGAAGCCCTTCTGGACAATGATTGGATACTTGCAATGCAGGAAGAATTAAACCAATTCACCAGAAATGATGTGTGGGATCTAGTTCCTAAACTAAAAGGGTTTAACATCATTGGAACCAAATGGGTATTCAAAAACAAACTAAATAAACAAGGAGACATCGTCAGAAACAAAGCATGACTGGTGGCACAAGGTTATAGTCAGCAAGAGGGGATAGACTATACAGAAATCTTTGCTACAGTCGCCAGATTAGAATCTATCAGACTTTTAATTTTTTTTGCAGTAAATAATGGCACCACTCTTTATCAGATGGATGTTAAAAGTGTGTTTTTAAATGGTTACATTGATGAAGAAGTTTATGCGCACCAACCCCTTGGTTTTGAAAATTCAAAACATTCAAATTATGTTTATAAACTTAAGGAATCGTTATATGGTCTGAAACAAGCTCCCGGAGCTTGGTATGAAAGACTAAGTAACTTTCTCTTAGAAAATAATTTTACCAGAGGGAAGGTGGACACTACTTTATTCTGTAAACTATTTAAAAATGACATTCTAGTTTGTCAAATTTACGTAGATGATATTATTTTTAGATCTACTAAAGCCTCTCTAGGAAGAGAATTTGTTAAATCTATGCAGGCAAAATTTGAAATGAGTTTGATGGGAGAACTCAAGTTATTTCTGGGTATCCAAATCAATCAAACTCCAGAAGGAACCTACATACATCAAAGCAAGTATGTCAAAGAACTTCTGAAAAATTTGACTTGTCAGAATGTAAGCCAACCAAAACTCCTATGCATCCCACATGCTTTTGGAAAAGAAAGAGGTAAGTAAGAAGGTAGAATAGAAGATCTACAGAGGTATGATTGGTTCTCTCTTATATTTAACAACTTCAAGACCTGATATTATATATAGTGTCTGTCTGTGTGCTAGATTTCAATCAGATCCTAGAGAATCTCACTTAACAGCTATTAAGCGAATTTTCAAGTATCTGAAAGGTACTACTAATCTCGGTCTTTGTTATAGAAAAACCAAAGAATATAAATTAGTAGGGTATTGTGATGCTGACTTCACTGGAGATAGAATAGAAAGGAAAAGTACTTCTGGAAGCTGCCAATTTCTGGGAGACAATCTAATCTCGTGGTCCAGCAAGAGGCAATCCACCATTGCATTATCAACTGTTGAAGCTATATATAGCAGCAGCTGGATGCAGCACAAAGATGCTCTGGATGAAAAGCCAACTTGAAGACTTCAACATATATGATGTGTTCTTGTTGTTCTATGTTCTGTCTTTTGAATATCCTTTTGTGCTAATTCGTTTTATGGTTAGCTTTCCTTTGTTATATTATGGCTAGAAATGGAGAATAGTATGTGTGTGATCTAACCACTAACCACTGACTGATTGTTGTTATTGAGGAGGAGAATTTTATATTCACTGAAGTGTTACTTAGCAGGTTTTGAAGGAGAGTCCTTGTTTTGAATTGGACTCCTGTGAAGAGTTGTTAGACATGATGTCCTGACATGTTGAGAATTTATTTTTCTCTTGGTTTTTGTGTTGAGTAGCTTCCACTAGTGTATACTCTAATATTTTTTCTGCTCATATCTCTGATGAATTGATTTCTGCTTCTATGCCTCTGTATTTGTGTGTTTGATTTATTCTCAAACCTATGATTATGATGTGTTATGTCCAAGGGCTATTTAGTTGTTTTAGCCAAAAAAATTCAAATGGGGAAATTGTTAATTCTCTATTTTTGTGATTGGCATTAATTTTGGTAAAACTAACTTCGCAGCAATATGATGAATAAGATGTTTCAACTTGCAGTTTCAACATGTCGAATGCGATGTCCTAACCAGAAGAGTAGGACAGACACCTGGTCTGTTACAGTTTTTACAGTTTGGATACAGTTGATTTAAATTACTGAATATTTTGTGAATATTAAGTAATCATATGTGGCATCCAAGAAAGAGAAATCGGAGATTGTATTCAAGTTATTCAGTTTTCTAATGTTGATACATTTTAGGAAATCCTTGATTGAAGTCCTATTTTCTATGCATAATTTAGTAGACTCCTTGTTGCGTATTTGAAGCTCAATCCAGTCCAGATGTGTGCTTTAAATAGATTATCACTATCCTAATTTTAGTGTGGAACTTGCGTTGTATTTGTTAGGGTTTGTGTGTGTTAATTATGAGCATCTCTAATATCATCTTGATGTAAGAGTAGGACTGTTCATTTGAGTTGTAAGTTTTGTCAATCATTCTTAAACTTTTAATTATTGAATGAGTGTGTGTCTTTAAAGTGTGACTTCTGTTATTTTCTAAGTGTTTAGAGTTGTTCAATCAATGTTTGTGACTGAAGGGGAAGTGAGAAGGATTTCATACCTAGGTGTGTCTTAGGTAGAAGTATAGCATGAGTAGTGATTAAGTGAGAAGTTATAAATATGGGAGTTTAGCTTTGAATTGATATTATTTGGTGGACTTCCTCCATGACTTGGTAGCCCCCAGACGTATGTGTTGTTGTACACCAAATTGGGTTAACAACTCTGTGTGTTCCTTTTACTTTTCAGCATCTTTAATTGTGTCTACCTTGTCATTGGGTTTTAAATCAGATATCAGTGTCTCAACATCTCTTAGGACATCTGATATTTGTATACCAGAATATCAATTCTCTTGCTTTATATGGATGATATGCTAATTGTTGGAAATAATATTTCAAGAATTAAAGAGTTGAAGAACACTTTGAGTGAATCTTTTGATATGAAGGATTTAGGAGAGGCTCGGAGAATTCTTGGTATTGAAGTTGTTCGAGATCAAAATGAGAAGAAGTTGTACTTGTCATAAGAAATGTATGTGAAGAGATTCCTTCGGCGTTTTAGTATGAATAAGGCTAAAGCAGTGAGAATTCCACTTGCTTCTCATTTTAAGCTTAGTCATAAACTATGTCCATCTACGAATGAAGAAAAGTTGAGTATGAAGAACTTTCCGTACTCGTCGGTCGTTGGTAGTTTGATGTATGCTATGGTTTGTACAAGACCTATTGGTCGTTATCTCTCAAATTCGGGAAAAGATCATTGGGAGGCCGTGAAGTGGGTGATGAGATATTTATGTGGCACTTCGAATTTGAGACTAACTTTGGGATGTAAGAAGCCTGTGTTGATTAGATATACAGATTCAGATTTGGCCGGAAGCTTAGATGATCAAAAATCTACTTCGGGATATATGGTGACTTTTGTCGGGGGAGTCGTGGCTTGGTAATCAAAGTTGCAAAAGTGTGTTTCATTCTCTACTATCGAAGTCGAGTTTATAAGCGTCAAAAGAGTTGTTATGGTTGAGGAAATTTGCAATGGAAATTGGTGTGAAACAAGAAAAGTATGTATTGTTTTGTGATAATCAAAGTGTCATTCACTTACCGAAGAATTCCTCCTTTCACTCGAGGTCGAAGCATATTGATGTTCGTTATCATTAGATTCGCGATGCATTAGATTCCAAGTTGACAAAGCTTGAGAAGATTCACACCGATGACAATGGTTCGGATATGTTGATGAAGTTTTCTTAGAGGAAAGTTTTGAGTTTTATCGCATGGTAGCTGGATTGGTGTTGCCCTCCAACTAGTCGATCGAGGGAGTTTGTTGGGCTATCACTCGTATTTGGAGAGGCTCAAATGGATGTGGGTTAGTGACACATATGTGTCTATGTCTTTGTTATTACCCAATAAAGAGAATTAGGTTATTCATTCATTGTGTGAGAAAAACAACTAGAAAAGCTATAGAGAAAACCGTATTTCTGCAACCCTAATTCTACACAAATTAGTCACAGAAAATCAGAGCTTGCACAAAATCCAACGGTCGGATCGTCCTGAAATTTTGACACAACGTTCATAACTCGTATGAGCACATTCTGAATGATTTTGATTGGATTCAGAGCTTTCTAAGTTGGTCTATCGAGTCCATCTTTGAGGTATGAATTTCTTGGTGTTTTTGGTTGTTTTGTCTCTCTTGATTCTTGTTGTATTCCAAAATTGATTCCAAATCTTGATGATGTTCATGTATGCCTCTAACTAGTGTTAGAGGATTTAACTGGCATACGAGTCCAATAGTTTTTTACTCCTAGTTAACAAAGATTTTTCCATACTAAAATTGTGTTGTGTTGTTTTATGTGTTTTGTTACTTGTCGTTGTATTTGGTATTTAAGAGAAATTGTGTTCTTAAATATTCTGTTGCATTTGTGATTTCCACCCAACACCTAATTTGTTTCGATCCTAGCAACAAATACAAAAACTTCATCGAAATCGATTTCTCCTATCTTTACCTACAGTTATTTTTAATTTAATTAAAAATATTTGTTGCATAAGAATAAAAAATTCAAAAAAACTAAATTTTACATAAAGACCATCAAATAACAAGCTCTTTCGCAATCTCCTTTAGATGGTAAAACCAATCCATTTAAAAACTTTAAACATGTGGCGTGATTTAATATCACATGTAGAACTCCTATTTGCTAAACATCTATGCACTATACAAGAAATTTAGCTTACGCCCTTGTTACTAATGCACTTCAATTTTCACTAATTCATCGTTATTTCATCTCACATTCTTCTTCAACTTCACCATCTGGAAAAATTCAAAATCTCTTTAAATTTATTATATATACATACTCCATATAATTGCAACATAAAGCCAATTCAAAAAAAGTATTGATGTCTAACCTTTAAGATTAACGGCGCGGTTTGCTTGAGTATCAGCATCACGGTTATATTCCTTGAACATAAAAAAGACATGTTATTTATGAACAGATTACAAATATTATGTACATATCTTAAGCAATAAATGTAGCATGTTTCATCTCCTAGTTAAAAAGTGGAATAGCATTTTTAATTTCTAACTTAATGCAAAGATTAGAGTCACATGACTTTTTGGTAGATAGGCATGCAAATTAAAAAATTCTGAAATTGGTTACCCTTGGAATATGATTTATCTTGAATGACATAAACTTATTTTTATGCTCTTTGGCCTCATTGCATAAATAACTCATATTCTCGTTTTTTATTTTCCATAAACCTTGAATCTGCAACAATAACAAATGAGAGTAAAATGATTAGGAAAAGTATAAAGAGTTCAAAACTTATGGGATAAGATGATAGTCATAATTTCTATTGGGAATGTAGAATCACATATTTCCACGATGTTGCAGGTTTTTGTTGAGTTTGTGCCTAACCAGAATCGAAAATTGGTAGGCACTAATGGGATCATCGTGATAAATAGTATACTCAATGACATCAATAGTTTTACAACCCTTAAGAATCCAACTTGTGACCCTATTGCTTAAAATAATCTGTGTTTATAGACCCTAAATTCGCAAAACTTTTCCGTCTAAACTAAAAATTATAGTTTTATATAAACTCTTTCGGGAAACTCATAGTTCTCTTGAAAAAAGAAAAAGAAACCTAAAAGTTATGTGTTCGATATTTTCTATTCTTATAATAATTAAATATAGGTTATTTTTTAAAATAATTGATAGTAAAATAACTATCAAACATGATAAGAGATTAAGTTATTAGGGATTCAATGGAAAAGAAATAACTAGAAAACTGAAAAGTGAAAAGAAATAACCAGAAAACTAAAATAATTGAAGGAGAAACTTTTTTAAACTAATATCAGTTTGTTACACTTTACAAAATACAAAATAAAATGAATATCATAGTGATACTCTATTCTTATTTATTATCTGTCTAACCTTATTGATATACATGTTTTTAAATGGGTGGCCTATATAAATTACATTAAGTAGTGTATAATTACATTTTTATACTATCAATTAGTTATATCACCGTATGTTCATACTAAAATATATTTTAATATTTTTGATAGGATGTTAACATTCCAATATTAGAATATGATGTTTTATTTAACTACTTTTCCGTTAACGGTATTAGGAATAGTGCATATTGTCAAATATCGATATTGGAAAATATTCTATCATCAAAAAACCAATATGAAAAATATCGGATCACGTATCGGTCAAATATTGGAAGCGACAAGTTTAAAAGTTAAATTGAGAGAAAATCTGAAAGAAAAATTGCAAACTTTTCATATAATGGTTGACAGAATTACAATCCAATGTTGGTCCTTAAGAAAGGATTTAATGTTTCTCCGCCACTTTCTATAGAATGTACAAAAACAGAGAAACAAATAAAAATTCAAAACTCTGAAAACACCGAACATAGTATAATGGAAAGGAATAAATGAAAGAAACCAAAAAACCAGAGAACAAAAAGATAAAAAAGAAATCGACTAAAAAATTTACCTGAAAAGAATTCTGGGGAAGTGTAAAAGCTTTGAAGAAATGAGGAAGAGAAGCCGGAGAATGGAAGGAAGGGCAATCAAATAATAAATTAACTGGACGAATAATCAAGTTGGTATATATAAATTATAATACTAGGCACTCTTTAGCTCACATTTTCCTTTTTCAATGTTTCCACCTCTTTAGATTCTACTTTTCCACCTCTTCTTCACCTTACCCTCTTTAATGTTTTTCAAAATGATTTATTATAAAAAATAAATAAAAAATATGACTTCCGATGTTCTATTCATAACCAGTATACCGGAAAATCGCCGTATTGCGAGCATCACAAAATTGAAATACTATACCGGTTTTCGTATCGGATAGCCAAAATTTCGATACACAATACCAGTATACCGGCGGTATACCGGATATTTAACAACATGCACTGCATACCAACAATTGTGGAGAGGTTCATATATTCTGCTAAGCTATAGGCTATTGCACCACTACTTAACAATATTAATGGATACTTTGTATCTTTTAGCCATAACAAACCTGATTACAAACAAGTAGGGAGTCTCCTTTAACACAGATATGCTTATATCCTTTTTTGAGAGCTTGTTTTAGTCCTAAAATCAATGCTCTGTATTCAGCGACATTACACGTAGCAGTACCAACTCCTTCACGCAAACGATAGACCTATGGAGAGATAAGAGTAAGTTGTTTTCACATATTCACATAATATTATTGTTAGAAAATAGACACCTTGCTTCCATCATCTGCTCTCAAAATTGCTCCCGCACCAGCAAGTCCAGGATTCCCTTTAGATGCGCCATCAAAGTTAAGTGTACAAGAAATCTGAAATAATTTTGTAGTTGCATTATCTATAGATAAATAGAAGTTAAGATGTAAACCTCTATTTAGAGGTAATCAAAATAAAAAATATCAATATGTAAAGAGACATATTTGAACTTCATCCCTTGCCCTAAGTTACTAAGTCAATCTCTTACGACTAAGCTACCATCTATTATTAACGACGCAAGACAAAAAAACTTACGCAAGTATTAGTAGACAACTCTGTTTGTAGTTGCAATCCACTTATACAAGGCCTCCTTTGCACATTTGTGGAAAATGAAAATGATCCACCTCCCTTCTATATGTATAAAAATTCAGTGTTACTCAAATCAATAATTGAAATCATTGGTTGAGGATATTCTAAAATTGACAACTCACATTAGTATTAAGTTGCATGGCCTGTGACGAGGAATTCGCCATAATTGTTTTTCCTCTATTTGAATTAGGATTCTGACAAGAAAATTGATCTCTTCTTAAAGTTAAACGTTTTGCAAACTTGGAAGAGATATGACACTATTGGTATAAGCGATAGAAAATAAATTAAAAAAAACAGATTAAGAAGTTATCACAAATAATGTTAATGATAGATGAAAATCCATGTATTCAAAGGGCACCACAAAATAGTGAGAAAAAAAGTTATTTTGGATAAACAGAGGAGCCTTTATTCCATAGAACATAAAAGGAATGTTTTCTGATAACTCACACTATCATCAACTTGCAATGCACCTTGCAAGCTCTTTGATGAGGAATCCACTGTAACAGCTCCTCCCCCAGAAGAATATGGATCCTGAAAGAATATCAATCTCTTCATGATGTTGGGAATTTTTCTAATAGCAAACATGCCGGACACAAATAGCATGAGCATAAGAAATTATAAGATAAAATGACAATTAAAGATGAACAACTATGCAATGCAATCCAACATAATATGAAAGGAAAATCAATGTTCTCAAATAACATTGCTAATATTGCTATAACGCCGTAGTATAGTGGAGTTAGGTAATTGTGGAAGGTTAGAAACAACAGAATTATCAAGATCATAGTGCAATCGCATGGTGTAATAGCAAATTTGACTAATTACCCATGTCTTTTTGACCAATGGTGCTGGGATCCATGGGCTATTTTCTCTGATTTTCAGGGTGGTCTAATGGCTGTTTCTGTACTTTGGGAAATGGAGTGAGATGCTTTCATTCAGTGATTGGAATCTTGCATTTCCGTATTTTGATGGTGTTTTTTCTCTTGTGCAAAGTGGCGGGGCTGCTGCCCGTGCCTGCAGTGGCCTGCAACTATTGCAGTGCAGAGGCGTTTGTTCGTTTCTTTTCCCGTTTGCCAATTGTTCTGTTTTGCATAGCGGTTTGCCATTCTCGAACAACAATGTGGCTTCTCGATCATCGGCTTTTGGTGCAGAAAGAGGGTGTGTAGGGGCAGGCAGCACCGCAAGCCTTTGGACGCACAAAATAAGGTTTTCATTTATCTAATATCTAACACAAATGCATTTGGGTACAATCAATTATCCTATTTTCTCAAATTATTATCTTTGTCAAAGCATCATGTCCAATTGTCCAGTATATGTGTCAGCTTCATAGGTCTTTTATCCCTTATAATCAGAAAATTCACAACAAATTTAACACAACAACAAAAGTAAGAACAAATAGTATCTCAAACCTGATAAGGACAAGGAACAAGTTTTCCAAAACTACCAGCATTAACATTAGCAGCACTGATAGAGTAAGCAGCTCCTTTAAGTCCATGTGACACAAGATACTCCTCAGTTTCTTCAGGTAAACAAAACCCTTTATAAACACTAACACTCTCACCACAAACCTGCATAAAAAAATAAAAATAAAAATAAATCAAAACATACAATTAAACACTTGAAAAACATGACTTCTTTGAAATCATTCACACCCAAATGCAGAAAATTTATAAAGACAAAAACTTTACATACGGAAGATGAAAGTAAATGTTGGATATCACTCAAAGACTTGTAAATGCCAACAAGATTCCCTTTTTTAACAACATAGAAAGCGTCATTTTCTTCAGCCATTGTAACACTGCAAGCAAGCACAAGGGCGTTGTGAGTGATCTTAGTTTGAGAGGAACAACAAAAATTATTCAATTTTCGACAACACGGGACACGTGAGACTGTAACTGTTGATGTCGTGTTTTGCAAACCTAGGAAGGACAGAAAAATAAATTATTCAATTTACGAGTTTAACGTCTCTCATTTTTCAATTCATTTAACGTCTCTCTTTTCTTCATTTTTTTTTTTATATTGTTTTATAGATATTATATTTATTACATTTTTGTGTAATTTAGTTTATCAATTTCAGAAATTAATAAAAAATTATTTTTTATTAATAATTTAAAAAATGGAATATGTTAAGTAATTATTTAAATACTTTATAAACGTTATTAAAAAAATTGTTTAAAAACAATATATTAAATAGAAATTTTTATTCAAATAACCCATTTTTTTCAAATAAATACTTAAACTAACTCAATTTTTGTAGTATTTTTCAAATTAACTCACTTTCAAACAAAAATAAATCATTTACAAAGAGTCGTTAATCTAATCGACGATAATATACAACACATATGAGAAATCGTTGATTCTATTAGCGACAGTGTACAAACACATATAAGAGATTGTATGTGTATGTGTATTTGTACACTATCGCCAATTGGAATAACGACTTTTTTTATGTGTTGTACATTGTCGTCAATTGGATTAGCGACTTTTTGTGTTGGAATTTTTTTATTTGAAAGTAGGTTAGTTTGAGAAATACATGTAAAAGTGTATTAGTTTGAATATTTATTTGAAAAAGTGGATTATTTAAATAAAAAATTTCATTAAATAATATAAATATTACAAATAACAGAAAATAGTTATCATAAAATTAAAGAAAAAATTTAAAGGAAGCCATTTGTGACTTTGACCTCGTAAGTGATCAACTGCTGGTAGTTGAGGTATTCTTTATTGCATATTCAATCAATTAAAGGTGAATATTTGTCTTAAATGTTAGTTGAAGATGGTAGATTATGTGGACCTTAGCCTTTTGAAATCCGTGGTGGTTAGGAAGAAATTCCTACTTCACGTAAATTCTTCTAAAATCATCTAATGCACATGTATTTTGTGTTGAGAATAATAAGTGTGAGTAGTGTGGGAAATTTTCACATTGGTTATAAATATGAAATTTTGAGTATTTATAAGTGAGAAAACTACACGTTTATCACCTTAAAATTTTAGATAAGTATGTAGTGAATCTCTCACAAAAATGTCTTGTTCAGACAAAAAGACCTTAATATAAAAATGCTCTCTCGTATTAACCTCTAAATAGCTCTAACATTTTGTTTTTCCGCTGTAAATTAGTTTTGCGATTGTGTGTCTTAGGAATAAAGTATTATGGACCTTGGCCTAAACCAAAACATGAGGTATGTTCCTCATTTAAGTGAACTTTATTGTCATTTGAATAGTTCAATAAGATGTCAAATAGGAACTAAATTGAAATTTTTAAGGACAAACAATAGTTTGGAGTTTAATTCAAATTATGTCAATGATTTTGAAGCAAATAATGTATTAAGATTATGGCATAAAAACAACATTAAAATGACATAGATGAACGTGGAAATAATACTATATTAGAGTGTTTTAGATGTATTTTTATGGGATCTAAGTGGTCTAAGATTTTATGAGGAAAATTGTGAATATTTTATAGCATATATGATTAAAAATGTCCATAGACAAGAATAAAATCTAATGAATTTTAGATTGGAGAATCGACAAACTACTATAATTTAAAGATTTTCTAAATTTTGAAATTTTCATGTATCAAACAAGAAAATCTTGATTAGTAGAGATTTGAAATGTGTTTTCATTTCATTATCTTGAAGTTTTTACATGGGAGATCAAATATTATACTAATAAGCAGGGATGTTACTTTGTTGAAACTCGCGTAAGGATGAAGTGAAAAAATTTGAAGAATAGAAACTTAGAAACAAGAGTGGAGAAAACAAATTTAAGGTGAAACCTTCTACTGATGAAACAGATAAAAAAGATAAGAATGACCTTCCACCTTCAAGTTTTAGAGAAAGACAACCAATCAGTTGGTTAGAGATACAGATATTGTTTCACAAATGTGGTATGGCTATGCAAACCTTGTGTTTCATGCTATAATTAAAATAGAACAGATCAATATTCAAAAGCAAGGGATCTTCTGGGAAGTAATTATCCACATAAAAATTAAAAAATAGCTAGAGGCATCAAATGAGAAAAAGAGTTTATAGAAGAATCAAACTTAGATAATTGTGGGATTAGTGTCGTAACTGGCAAAAAAAAAATATAGTCGTTATTATTAATTTTTATTTTAAGACGAAAATATAATGAAATAACCCTAATTGATGATACAGAGATTTTAAATTTTTTACTCACTTTAGACGAAGAGAAGGTGTTAGACATCATTCATCTACATTGTTCACAAAGATACTAGAATTTAGGTTTAAGGTTTAGAAATGGAGTTATAATACGGTTTTTAAGTCGTATGCCTATGTATCCTCTTATGGGGAATCAGAGTCTCAATTCGTAGGTCGTAGTTGTTTGGTTAGTGTTTTTATAAGATTGCGTAGAATTGATTTCGAATTATTCTTGAATATTGTCTGGGTTGTAATTCGCGTGATCGTAGACGCAGTTCATAGTTAATTTTGAAAGAAATTCTCTTTAATTCTTTTTATGAAAATATCTTGGGTTTTATTATGTTAGTAGAAAAATGGTTTGAGATTGGTTAGATGTTTTGAGAGTGTAATTGATAAAGAGTATGGTAGGTCATAGCGGGATGAGGATATTAATGGTCCAAGTTCAGAAATTGAACTTGGCTCATTTACGCACAGGGGTCTAAAATTAAAATTAGGTGGTGTATTAGAAGAAAATTTATACCTAGAGATATTTTGAATCCAAATTGACTTTGGGGTATATTTTGCAACAGAGTTGTCAAACATGAGCATCTGGTCAGTGAGGACCCAAATTCAGATATTAGACTGGATCTAAAATATAGGTGGAGGTGTAAACTTAGTTTAATAGTAAAATACAGGAGTGTGTAGTAATAAGAGTCTAAATTCAAAAATTAAACTTGATTCAATTAAGCAGTAGGATTTAATAATATTTTTATAAAATATTAAATTAGTTAATATACAAAAGAAATAACCGGATAAATGAAATTATCCTTTCAATTCAACCAAACATGTCATAAGAACTCTCGACCCATTACCTTTTAACAAGTACATATAGTAATTATAATAATAATTAAGACAAAAAGAAATAAATTAAAAATAATAAAGAAAGTCTAACAGGGGCGCCCCTCTCTATTCATTGTTAGCCTTTTTCACATAACAATAGAATTATAATAAACAATAAGAACAGGTCTTACTTTTCCAATTAATTATTGTTAGACATTATACCATAAGCCCAATTCTCTGTTACTACAAAAAGGACACGTAATAAACTAAAAGAAGAAAAAAATTGGTAGAAGTGCAAATAAATGAACATCAAAAAAAAGAAAAAAACCACAAGAATAACTCAATATCCATTTTTCTTTAAGAGTGTCTTAACTTCTCTCTCTATGAAATGAAAAATAATCTTTTATCCTTTCTGTTCTGAATTAGGCTTACATTTGCCCTACGAGCAAGAGGTCTAAAGACAACCTAAGTTAGGGACTGTGGGGCAATTCCCCATCTAACCGTTAGGGAACATGGTCCACAACCTCTTAACAGACATCTCAAATTGCCCTCCGGGAATCTCGGGTCCAGCTCTATTCTCGCGGAACAGTTGATTAGGGGGGAGTCCACTAGCTGGACTCCATACTCACGTAAACTCTGACAGTTCCCGTGGCCCAATAGTGGGGACCTTGGCCCAACGTTGGGGGCTATAAGTACCCTCTCTCACAAGAGGGTCAGGTATTCATTCATTCACACCTAAAACTCATACTTGCTTACTCATTCTGCTTCTCACTTTACCATCAGAGTGTTTTGCAGGTACCCCCCCCCCCCCCCCATCTCATTCAAGCTCAGCCCGAAGTCAGTTGTGACGGTCCAACTCTGATCAGGTTAGATCAGTGGCGCCGTCTGTGGGAACTAAGTTTCCCCGTCTTCTATTCACTTGAGACCAAAGCTAAACAATCCTCGACTGTCATGGCTGACCAGACTCCGGACAACCAGAACGTCCCTGTCATCGATGTCAACAACAACATCGCCGACAATAATGTCGGCATCGACAACACCGATATCGCCGACCATAACACGGTCCCTGGAGTCAACACGCCCGAACCTTCTAACTATAGGGACAGAGCCACTGGTTCTTCTTCATCAATGCCTCCTCGACTTGAAGAAGATCGACCACCTCCCCTGAACTATCCACCCATCCAATTTCACGAGGTCCCTATCCTCGCCGGGGCAGACGCCACGACCAGGGCACTGTTCGCGGCGATCAATCAAACAAACTATCTCATCTTCGCCCAGGGAGAAAGACTGAGAGCGCTCGAGGACAATCGATGGCCCCCGAGAAGACACATGAGACCTAAATCTCCTCCTCCTCGACAAGCGGACGAACGTCCCCAATCTCCCCCACGGAGACAGAATCGGGACATCTCTAGAAGCCCGTCGCCCCGACCACTCGGGCGACGACCCCCTTTGGAGAGGGAACTGCTCTTCGACGCAGGAAGACGCGACTATGGCCCCTCGCGGCAAGAACGAAGACCCCCCAGAGACAGATCAGGGGAAACCATCAACGGTCATGCCGCTCAAGGAACGCTCCGCACGACCAGGGCCACCGTGACCGCCACTACATCAGATCTTCATCTCGCTCTTCCGAATGGAGTGACGAGGACGACCCCTGCGGTCCCTTGTCACAAGCTATCATGGAGGCGCCCATTCCCTCGGGCATGGAGAAGCCTCCCCACTTAAAGGAGTACGACGGCATCGCCGACCCGGTCGACCATATAGACGGGTTCGAAGTCATGCTGCACTACTACAACATCGAGGGACCAATCAAGTGTC